AATAATCTTTACATGAAAATATTTAAAGAGTCCAAAGATGGAAGGATTTACAAATAAAGGGATTGATAAACAATTTTTATCAAAATAAATCATTGAAAATTTTCCTGTATAAGTTAACTATATCATCTGGTTATTATAGTTATGTTAAATCATTGTCTTTTGTTTTTTATCTCTAGGAAATAAGTACATCACTATTCAAGACCATCTTCACAACATCACCTGCCAGCCACTTGGGATGTTTGAAATTTTAAGTTCTGTAAATTTGAGAGGTGTATTCTGAAGCCATATTGCTTTGCATGCCAATAAATAAATTATCTTTTAGCATTGTGTAGCCAAAAGATTGTAAATGGAATAAACTATTATCAAAATATTGCAAAATATCAGCTTTGATATATAAAAGTACTGGATTCTCTTATTTTCTTCTTATTTTGGATGAAGTACCCCAACCTGTTTACTGTTAGCAATGAAATTATTTTTCTAGAATATAATTTGTAAATGTAAATTATTCCAATCACAACATATCTGCATTATCATAATAGGAGAAGGGAAGAACTGGTAACCACAGTCGTAAAACTGGAAAGACAATTTTCTTCTTGAAACTTTTGTCATAAAATGCTCCACTTTCAGCGCATCAAAGACACACTTAAATAAAATTTTCAAGCTCTTTACCATTGTCTGTTTTCTCTCTATAGGCTCCCCTTTCCCATGCCCCTAGTCCTTCCCTAAACCCCTCCTTCCTAAGCCAGTAGCCCACAAGTCAAATCTGGTGCCTAGGCATGACTTCATGTTTTGAATGGTTGCACTGTACTTTAACATTTTGAGCCAACATTGAAAAATCAGGGTCTTTCATATAAAACTTTTGATTTCTGGCTTCTCTTGAAAAAGTAGGTCATCAGGCAATATTAGACCCAAAAATCAAATCTGTCCTGGAGCTAAGTAACAGCTGCCTCTTTCTGAAGGGCCAAGGGCTCCCCAGCTCCAGAGTGCCCCCAGCACACACCCATGCGTGCTCACATACCCCACTCACATAATGTGCACATCTAGGTACTTACCTCTGGTCCACTTTACTTACACATCACACCTCACTGGCACCTGGTCTTCCTATCCTGCAATGATCAGCAACTTGGGCCAGTCTGATGCTGATTGCCAAGCCTAAGATTTTTCTTTGCTGTATTCAGCTTTGCCAACTCTATTTCTCAATCTCTATAGTGGTCCTGTGAGGTAGACTTACCCACCAATAAGATTCCAAAGTTTGCAATTACTTATATGCTTGGATCAGCAGTAGTGAATTTGAAGTAATACCTGTAATAATCACTCTCACCCATTTCCATGATGACAGATGAGCTTTTCCTGAGCTGACTGGAAAATTTAAGAATAGAATTGTCTTAGTAAGGCTACTGCTAGCTGTCAGATCCTGAGCAGTCATTTAAGCTCTCTAGGACTAAGTTCCTTATGTGAAAAAATAAGGTTAAAATTGTCCAATTACCATCCTATCTTACAGAAGTCTTTGTTTATAACTGTATTTGCCTTACAATGAGGTTTCGGTAAAAATAGGATCCTGAAATACTCATCCTAAAATGGTTGTCCAGGAGCGGCTCAGGGCAGAAGTTACCTTTGTATGCACCTAAATTATGTCTGTCAGCTTCTCCAGAACCAAAACCATCATCTCTTCCTCCAAAGCATCTCAGTGAAGGAGGCTCACAGGATACCCAGAGCAAACACAACTGTATGTGACACAAGTATGTTCTCCAAGTAGGGTTTTGTTCATTTCCTTATTGTTTAGGTAAAGTTTGGCTATGTTGATTGTTAAAGCATTCAACAGTTAGATCAAAGTAAAATATTTTTCACAGTTCTAATCGAAGGAGCTCAAGGCAACTCTCTGATGTCCATCATGTTTTCTTTTATGCAAATTGTTGCCTTCACTACTCCCATACCAGTATACCCACAGGTGACCTAACAGGCCCCATTTTGAAATAAAATTTGACTTGGAAATTGAATATATACCTGTGTGTGTGTGTGTGTGTGTGTGTGTGTGTGTGTGTGTGTTCTCATGATACCGGAGTCAAAACCTTGAGAACATCTCAGTTCACACTCCAATTAAACAGCAGCCTTCAGAACCGCAAGATGTGCTCATACAAAGGAGAGGAGGTCGTCAGCTAAGAAAACTTCTGTTCGCTGGGGTGAATGGAAGAGGGAACATAAGACAGTAAATGTGAGTCGAGCCCAAAAGAGTGCCAAAGGTCAACATCAGAAAAGATGAATCTGCCCTTAATTTCAAGAGGCAAGCTAAGGGATGCCATGGAAAAGAAAGCTAAGCAAGTGAGTGAGGAGTCATGTACATACAGAAATGATTTTAAATATCATTTAAAACAGATAAAAGTAAAACACTCAACAAAGAAATTATTAAAGAATATTCAGCATAAGACTTGTACAGAGGGCTGGGCGC